CTGCCCTATGGCGAGGCCTTCATGGCAAAAAACTGAGGGCCACCTTCAGTCAACAGTCAGCAAGGAACTGAGGCCCTCAGTCCAACATCCCGTGAGGACATAAATCCTGCCAGAGCCTGGGGGTGGGTCCTCCCCCACTGAGCCTTCAGATGAAACTGCAGGCCAGCAAACACCTAGACTACAACCTCAGGAGAGGCCCTGAGCCTCTCATCTAAGCAGCTGCCAGGTCCCGAATCACAGACAGCGTGAGATTATAAATGTTCCTTGTTTTAAGTGTTAAGTTTGGGGTTTGTTATGCAGCAATAGATAACAAAGATAGCAGCCACAGGAGCCTGAGTGGCTCAGTTCTTAAGCGTCTGCCTTTGGCTCAAGTCATGATCCCAGCCAGGGTCCTGGGATCGAGCCCCGCATCGGGCTCCCTGCTCGGCGGGAAGCCTGCTTCTCCCTCTCCCAGTCCCCCTGCTTGTGTTCCCTCTCTCGCTGTATCTCTCTCTGTCAAATAAATAAATAAAAATCTTTAAAAAAAAAAAAAAAAAGATAGTAGCCACACAGGGGAGGCCCAGTCCTGGTCGCTACCAACTCCATCATTTTTCAGGCCTAGGACGTAGACCGCAAGAGATTAGCTATCAGGAACTCTTGGGAGGAACCCTTGCCCCACCCCACCCCCCCAAATGCAGAGACACTTTCCCACTTGGTGACACATACCCAGGCATGGTCTGGCCACACAGAGAGGACCACGGAAATAATGTCAGTGCAGCTCTAAGTCAACATGACACTTTTGGCTACAGCATGTTGACAGGAAATAAACTGGAGACGGAACCACACCTGGAAGGTGAGAGAGTCCTTACCTACCCAGCCATACTGTGCTATCGGCTACATTTACCCTCAGAACCTGTCCAGCTCTAGCGGGCCAGATGACGTGCACAGGCATACCCTGCCAGCACTCTGAGCTTGTGCTATAAGGTTCCATGGCTCACTCGGTGGTTTTGAGATCAGATCCCCTCCTCCTGGAAACCTTCCTCAACACTCCCAACTCTTCCCACTTTCCCAACCTTTCAAGTTAGCCCCATGAGATCCAAGACAGTAACTTAACTTCCATTTCCCACGCACCTACTATGAGGCCTGAAACAGATATGGTGATTAATAAATGTGTGCTGTAAACAATATCTTTCTTTCTAATGTGTATTTCTTATGTGTATGTCTTTCTCTCCAACTAGACTATAAGCTTCTCAAGGTCAGGAACTGTGCCTCATTCACGGTGGTGTCCTAAAGACCCTGAGGTTTACTAACTTCCAGACAAACAGTAGGTCAGGGCAGAGCACAAGCACACAGTCTATGGACCAGGGGTAGATACTTGGCGGCAATCTACCAAGTACTCATGGGGCGCCCCATCCATTAGGCATCAGACCCCTCCTACCACACAGGAATCTGAGGAGAACCTGAGAATTCCTCTGACCTCCCACGGCCCTGAGCAACACAGAACAGAGACAGTTCCACTGTGCTGAGGTCAGAGGAGAATATGGAATTAGGAGGAAGGAAACAAAAGAGAGAGAGAGAGCTCTACCTTGAACTTTCATGGATAGCAAACATCTCCTCCAAGACATCCCTGGGTTACAGAACAGCCACAGAGCCCTAGGTGGCTGGATGGGTTCCTGCTCAGACTCAGCAAGTCCTTTTGTAGTTTTGAAGCAATAACATAAAAAGCAATGCAAGCTGGCTCAGCAGATGGTCACACATGCCCAGAAACCACCTGACCGAGTAACTGTAGGGAGCCAAGACATTCACCTCTGGCGGAAGTGGCCGTCGCTTTGCTTCCGGCACAGACTAATACCTGATCCTTCTAAGGACCAAAGAGGAAATATTAAAAATGAAAGTCCTTGGCTACCATCAACAATTGTACAGTAGTATCAACAGAGGGAAATAATTTCCTTCCTGACTCCCACTGGGCCGGTGACGCCTAGAGCAGAAGGTGTGATTATCTAATCAAACAAAGCAAGAGCAGAACAGCTAGACTGTAACTTCTAAGGGATTGCTCAAGCATGGAGACTTCTTCAGTCTCCCAATTCTACCTCCTTTCACCTCTTGCTACCTTGAGCCAAATCAAATATGAAAAGTAATAATAGTACACAATTTCATTTCAATGTCAACCATTACCATTACACAAGGTTCCGGATCTAGCCCCTTTCCAAGCCTGAGGACAAATTAGTGCCCATCCAGTCCTGGGGATGATGAGGCTGCAGAGTTGGGAGGAAGAACATATACTGAGCATATACTGTCACCAGGTAGCTGACATGGTGCTGGGGACGACACATTACACTGTCTCATTTTTCTTTAGTTAAGAAGACAACAACTGTAATAATCTATCATAAATGGACCATACTTTACAGTCTGCAAAACAGGCTGGCATCTATCAACCCATCTGCTCTAAGCAAACAAGAGAGGCAGGCAGCACAATGATTATCATTCTTAATTCCCAGATCAGGGAACTGAAGGCAGGGGTATGTTATTTTTCTGGAGGTACACATCTAATAACTGGCAGACCTCTGACACCCCATCCCACTGTACCTCACTGCCTTGTTATGCACTCACAAACTTCTTAAGCCACAATGGCCCCAAAAGACTCATTCTACCAGTCATTTGTTTCAATTTCACAGAGACATGCAGGCAGCCTCATCGGTGCTAGATTTCCTAAAACTCCCCAACATAAAAAAATAAAATAATTAATTAATTATTTTAATAAATAATTAATAAAACTCTCCAACAGAGAATGGCCAGTGTCTAATGGAAAGCCCTTGGAGAAAGGGACACTCACTACCTTCAGATTCAATCTTTCTATCCACGAAATGCACTGTGCACCTATTATGTGCCAGAGATCCCACCAGACTTGAGATACACTTGTGAACTTAGGAGAGATGCTATCCCTCTTCTGACCAGGTTTTATATTCTTAAAGGCCAGCATCGTGTGTACCCTGCCTCCTGCCCTCTCCAGTGGAGTCTCATTCCCGTAACCATTCCTGGTGGGACACCATCTCCGGTCCTCACAGCATTCCTGTGTAGACAGTCCAGCTGGCTAATGTCATGTCCCTCTCAGAAGACGGAGCAAGGACTAAAGGCCGACACTCTAGGGGAGCTCTGTTAGGAAGGTAGAAAGAGAGTTCATGGTCACCCAAACAGCAGAAGGCTTCTCACCACCCCTCCTAGCAGCACCCAGATATCCTTTGAGGGACCACTCTTCTCTGCCATGTAGCTGCCATGAGATTTGCGTGGGACTGTCTTCAGACTCAATTCCAGAGGAGACCCCAGTGCACAGGCCAGTTAGCACAGTCCCGGCCTCCTGGCCTCAGTGACTGTGCGGGAATGCACAGCAACCCAAGGCCATGGGGACACAGCAAACAGGCTCTTTCCCCCTGAGTGGTAAGAGGAGGCCTAGAGCCCGGGCTGCAGCAGGCAGACATCTCATGACCACGGGGTGAAACTTCCAAGGTTGAAGCCAACACACAGAAGGCAGAGCAAGTAGTGCTAACAGAGAAGCAGAGCCGAGTCCTGTTCAAACTAGGCCTGAAGCCCACCTCACCTCTGGACTTGCCGGTTTCCAGCAGGATCTCCGCCACCCCCCGTTCTAGAGGGCATACCCTATTTCATGCGGTCCAAGGCTGCAGTGGCATTTTAGGAGACACAAACCACTGTTGACTCACAGTTAGCTTAGAGACAATGAAAACTTCTGAGTGTCTTCCAGCTTCCTCCCGCTTAGGCATTCTCTCCCACTCTGTCATCACACACTGTGTTTGATTATCTGTTTTTAATCCAAGTAAGAGTCTTCATATTAATCACATTTTCATTTTAAACACTGAAAAAACCCAGGAAGTAGAGCAGGTAACAAAGATTCACAATTTGATTCCTAAAGTGTACACTTGGGGGCAAAACATTCAAGACCATGTGTGAAATTTGAACAAGCTAAGGTATTTAAGAGTCGAAGCAATGGTTGTCAGCCTTTTATCTTACACAGATCGACTGGCACACAGAAGGTCAGTTGTTCTTTTAAGATACATTGATGAAGAAACGGTGACAAAATGTAACTGTAAACTCTGTCACGCTTTTAAATGAAGTTAGGTTTTATCACTCACTACAGCATCTGCTATGCCCTAAACATGGCGAGGCGTTATTATTTACTCAGTATACAGCCAGTGCTCGGGGCACACAGGGACTGGCCCTCAGGATGGAGAGCACGGGTCTCAAATTTTAAATGGAAGCTTTTCCCAGAATTCTCCCGTTGTTTGCCTCAGATCTCTGCCCAGCCAAGGGTGGCCCACACATTACTCTTTTCACTACTCCTATTTTTGAGAACACGATGTTCTATTCTACCAGCCAAACTCAGAAGTATTTCAAAACACAAGGGAAAGCTTTCTTTACCTGTTCGCCATTCCCCTTCCTGAGTGTGGAATGGGATCCCAGTGGAACTCAAGCAGACCCTTTAAGACAATGGCTCACACCCTTTGCCTGAGCAAATCTAGCCTCCCCTACCACCTCAAAGGATTCTGGTGAAAATAAAATGAGATCGCAGAAGCAGCAGCATCACATACGGGGGTGAACAAGAACCATTCAACAATACAACTTTGCCTTCCTCGCAAACGCCCATAACACCGTTCACTGCCATTTTCCTTTTGGGCTTTCAATTTCAAGAACGCATCCCTCCATGCCAAAGAAGAAAGAAGGAAGCAATACAGACTCATCACTACTCCCAATTTTCTTCCCATTCCTCTTCATGTCTCCTTCCAAGAGCTGAGTCCTGCCATACATTTTATGAGCACTGTTCTATTTTGTCCATTGCCAAGGAAATCGACTCAAGATAAAAAGAAAGAAGACTGTGGTTCTTCTCTAGTCCTTATTCTACCCCAGCTATTAGTACCCACACGTTCAATCGATACCATGGATTTTCAAACTCATTAAACATATGCATTAATTATAAAAGAAAAAAGTCTTCTCTTCTTCATAGGACTCACCAGTTGAAAAATAGCTTCCCTCTGATGAGTGCTCAGGAGACCAATGAGAGAAGGCCTCAAATGAGAACCAGGTGACTGGGTTCTGTCTTCAGTTGTATTTCTGCACCTCAACGTCTCCACCTGTGTAAAATGGGAGAAGGAGCTTGCTTACAAATCTTTTAGGATCTTGGGTGCCTGGGTGGCTCAGCCAGTGGAGTGGCCGACTCTTGATTTCGGCTCAGGTCATGATCTCAGAGTCCTCGGACCAAGCCCCGAGTCAGGCTCTGTGCTCAGCATGAAGTCAGCTTCAGGATTTTCTCTCTCTCTCCCTCTGCCCCACCCCCACCCCTCTCTCTAGAAATAAATTAATTAATCTTAAAAAAAAAAGGCACAACAAATCTCTAGGATCTTGCCAGCTTTGGAACTTTCCAGCTTTATGAACTCACTGACTAGGCCACACCAGAAATGATGCCAGGCTTGAAGCTGACAAATTTGGAGGCTTCCCTCTACACCTGCTAAGCCCCCAGTCAGCTCCTGGCACTTCTATTGCACCAATTTGTCACAGAATCACTGAAAGGAGGTTGCTGGCACCCCAGCTCTCCTGAGAAAACAGCTTCATCATCATCACAGAGGGGAAAGAGATCAATAGTTAGATATTCACACTCTAGCCAAGAAAAAATTAATAGCAAAATCTGAACAACAAATAAAAATAGACCAGAAAAAATGAGTTTGGAGACAAATTTCTAACTGTGGGACTGAGTGACCCCTCTGAAGCTTAGTTTCCTTGTCTGCAAAAAGGACAGCCAATGAGCAGCAGAGAGCTGGACAATCTTGACGCTTCCAGATAAGTCCTCGTTACAGGTTTTATTTCATTAAAACCTATTACTGTTTTGCTAAGGATTATGCAGTACATATTCCAACAGACGAGTATTCCAAAGCAGTGGCTGTTACAACATGCATGCTTTGTATATGCAGGAGGAACCCACATACCAGAAAAACCACTACTCCCATTTTCATTGTTGTCATTTTAAACATTATTCAACCAACCATGAAATTGATTTGTGTATATTATCTCATTCAGGCCTCAAACACTCAGATCTGCTCAAAGTTGGGAGGAACCTTAAAAACGACCCGACTCAGGGTGCCTGGGTGGCTCAGTCGTTAAGCGTCTGCCTTCGGCTCAGGTCATGATCCCAGGGTCCTGGGTTCAAGCCCCACATCGGGCTCCCTGCTCCGCAGGAAGCCTGCTTCTCCCTCTCCCACTCCCCCTGCTTGTGTTCCCTCTCTCGCTGTGTCTCTGTCAAATAAATAAATAAAATCTTAAAAAAAAAAGAAAGAAAGAAAGAAAGAAATGACCCGCCTCAACCGTTCCGACTGACGGGGGGAGAAGCTGGGGCGAGAGAAGGGAGGTGGCCACTCCAGGAGCCACAGTTAGTGGCAGATGGTCCCGGGCTCCGGTCCAGGGCTGTCAGGATAGCCCGAGAGCAAAAAGAAATTAAGTCAGGAAAATGGCACATAATCGAGATGAGCCCGGCAAAGCAATGAGACCTAGTGGTCTTCAAGGACATGAGAATTCTCAATGCCATTCCACTGACATGAGAAAGGCATCATTTCACACTTGCTGAGGAATGGAGTATGCAGAGGCAAACACCGGACCCGTGGACAGCACAATCTCATAAGACACCGCTCGCCCCGCAAGCCCCAGGAAACCTAAGTTTCTCCTTGCAGAGGGAGATGGAAATCAGAACGGTTTCTCCAAGAGCAGTAGAGGGCGTCGGACTTGCTAGATCTCTGAACTGGAAGGTGAGGCTCTCCACCTTGACCCTGGGGCAATCTCTCACACACCTGGCGGCTCCCTCCACATCCAAAGGACAGTGGTCTCCTCTTCCATCCTGGACTTCTCTCCATTTTTTTTTCTTCTTTTCCATAAAGAGAACAAGGAGCTTTGCTAAAGAACCACTGTGAAATGATTGAAGTTCCCATGCAAACAAACCATTAGCAGAGTTCAAATGCAATTTAAATTACCAGTTGTTAAAGTGCTCCTCAATTTCATGGTAAGTTTCCAAGGAGAATTACATGCTATATACTATTTAATTGGTTGTTTTCTATTTTTTAACATCCGTTTATCCCCCCCACCCTGATATTTCAGAAGTGTCTATAAAAGTTTCCCTTTAAAAAATTATACATTGTTGAATATATTAAACCTAAAGATTGAAAAGTATCAGAGAAACAGCTACAGGATTAGGCAGCTCAGCAGAAACTGATGGTTCTGACACCACAAAACATGCAGAATTTTAAAATCTTAGGAGTCACCTCGGAATGCCCTCAGCCCTTTGCAGGGGAAGACACTGGGGTCCTGACAGGAAAAGGAGGGCTTGGCTCAAAGTCCCCTGCCTGGTCAGTGACAGATTCAGTATGACAGCCATGATTCCGAATCCCCGCCCTGTGCTGTCTCTTCCCACCACCCCATGTCTGGACGAGATGATAGGAAATACTCAATGAATTTTATTTTCCACCTGTAATTCCACCTTTTTAATTTAAATTCAATTAGCCAACATGTACATCATCAGTTTCATATGTAGTGTTCAGTAATTTATCAGTTGTGTGTAACGCCCAGTGCTCATCACGTCACATGCCCTCCTTAATGCCCATCCCCAGTTACCCCATCCCCCGACCCACGTCCCCTCCTGCAACACTCAGTTTGTTTCCACCTGTAATTTTTTAAAAGGAAATATGAAGTCCTCTTCAAATACACTCCTGACCTCAAAACCAGAGACGGGCAATGGCGAATCTCTCTCCGAACGGGAGAACAAGAACAGGCTGACGAATGAGTAGTCAAAGGAGCTCAAAATGAGCAGATGCTTGGCAGGAACAGGAAAGACACTCTTCCAGATTAATTAAACAAGTTATGGGACAACCACATTTCCGATTTCCACTGCTCTATCTGGTCCAGAATCAGGGGCTGCTCCCGCAGGGAAAGGATAAAGGATCCACGAAGCTAAGGCAGGCCTCGTCACGTCTGGAAGGGGAAAGGAATTCTAGAGGCCACCATGAGTACAGGACGAAGCTGAATGCTTGGATACAGGATTTGTGTAGATTATTTAACCTCCCTGAGCTCAAGCTTCCCTGTCTGCAAAACAGCACTAATACCAACTACCCATCGGGGTCTAAGTAATCATGCCCCAGGATTCCAATCCCAGCACGCCTTAATGGTCAGCCCCTTGTCTTCCAAGGCTTCCATAATTTCTCAAAGCTTATGATTCTGTGGCTCTAACTTATGTGGACTATAATGAAGTCTTATAAGCTATGTATGCTCCCTAAGTGTGCTATATGAAAATTCACTTGTCATCGAAAAAAATAAAATAAAACATGTGTGTGCAAACTTACATAACCAAGCATTTTCCTTCAAAAGCAAACTTTTTGGAACTGCTATTTTAAAATGGTCTCCAGGGCGCCTGGGTGGCTCAGTCGGTTAAGCGTCTGCCTTTGGCTCAGGTCATGATCCCGGGGTCCTGGGATCGAGCCCCGCATCGGGCTCCCTGCTCCGCGGGAAGCCTGCTTCTCCCTCTCCCACTCCCTCTGCTGTGTCTCTCTCTGTCAAATAAATAAATAAAATCTTAAAAATAAATAAATAAAAATAAAATTAATTAATTAAAATAGCCTTCAATAAGACCTAAAATACAGAGAACAAACTGATAGTTGTCAGAGTAGAGGGGGTAGGGGGATGGGGAACAGTGGGCCCAAAGGGAACAGAAGTATAAGCTTCCAGTAGCAGAATGAATGAGTCACAGAATAAAAGGCCCAGCATAGGGAATATCATTAATTATATTGTAATAGCGAGGTATGGTGACAGATGGTAGCTACACTTCTGGTGAGCATAGCATAACAAACACATAAAGATGTTGAATCACTATATTATACACCTGAAACTAATGTAACATTGTGCGTCGACTACACTAAAAAAAAAAAAAAAAAAAGATTAATGAACAAAATGGCCTTCAAATCCAATTCATGAATCACACAGGAAGAAAAATCCCAATTTAATGTCCAAAACCTCATTTAAACTTTCCAACAACCCTATAAGAACAATTTCCTAATTGTCCACTAAAGAAACTGAGGGTCAGAGAGGTCAGGCAACTGCCCAAGGTTTTGGGACTGACAAATGGTAAAGCCAACACTTGAACCCAAGCCCTCGAAATCAAGCTCCATGACCCAGGTTCTTTTACTTGGCAGTTACAACTCTGCTATGGACAACTCTTCTGCTAGAGGCAGAAACAGACTAAAAAACTCTCCCCCTGTTTTTACATTTTAAGGAGCTCTGGGATTTAAAAAAAAAAAACAAAGCCTGAACTTTCAAACTAAAAAATGTTCACATTCGAAGCAGAATCCTCCCTGACTTCCACCCTGCTCTACGTTCTTAAGTGAAATAAAAAGCTCCAAGCCCCGGCACTAAGCAGACATCTGCTGGGTATGTGGGAAGCAGGCCTGAGAAAGGGTTAGCAGTGAGCTGCTATCAAGCCAATTCAACAGAATTCCAATGGCTGGGCTCATGATCAAACAAACCGCGGGTAACCCTAGAACGAGCTTCTCAACACCCCCTCTGGCACAACTGGTAGCTGACACGATGTCATGTGCCCTGCATTCGCAGGTGCTCAAAACAGACATTTGCTAGCACCTCCTGTCCTTAATAAGGCACCGCGCCGCGTATGGACCTAGCAGGTGTAGGTGCCAAGTCAGACTTGCCTTGAGCTCTCAAAGAGCTCCTAGGCTCACCGGGGACAGGCTCAAATACGTAAGACAGAATGAAAAGTGTGCAAAGCACACGTACACGCACTGTCATTCTGAGGGTCTGGAAGAACTCTGCAGATCATGACTTCTGAACCGAGCCTGAACACCCAAGAGGGTTTCCATGAGTGAGGAGGAGGAAAACAGGCCCAGGGAACACGATGTGCTAAGGGCCGCAAGGAAGAGTTCAGGGTGTTCTTAGGGAAAGTGACTAATCTGGTGAGGCCAGTGGCAGAGCACATGGAGGGATGCGGTGGGAGACGAGGCTGAAAAGGAATGTTGCGGCCAAGACAGGAACGACCTAGTGTGCCAGGCTAAAACCCTTGGACCTTGAGACTCATGGGTACTACATTTTG